GTGTGTGTGTGTGTGTGTCTGTGTGAGCTCATTCAGTAGCTGCTGTCTAATAAAAGCGGGCAGGCAGACAGGCTGCTGCTGCCTGTCTGCCTACACAGAGACACACTGCAGGATGAGGTGTCCTAATAAGGCGGAGGAGACCACAGCGGTGGCACACACTCACACACACACACACACACACACTGCGGTAATCCCATTCCCAGGCTGTCTCTCACCCCCGGGGCTCCGGCTGTGTGTGTGTGTCCGATTAGCTTTCCTATTAGCATCTAGTTCACTGGGCCGGTCAACCAGTCAGTCGGTCAGTCAGTCAGCAGATTGACCTTTAACCCCGACAGTCAGCAATTTTACCATTTAAACAGAAACTAGACGACAGTGAGCACCACTGGGATGTGCGATCACACATTAAACGACCCACTTTTGCACATGACAGTAGCCTTTGTTCAGATTTGAGTAGTTTATAAGCTCCACCTACATGACGGCATCTTTCAGATTGCTCTTTCTACGATCTGTCTTTAGGCCGCAGCGCAGAGACTGAATACTTCACCAAGACTCTGTTTTACATTCACAACATTCATGCAGAGGAATTTACAGCATTCATGAGAACAGACGAAAGATACGCAGACATTTAGCAGCAATCACACCGTGCCAGAGTTTATTTGGATGTTAGCGCAAGAGGAGCGTTTTACAACACAATCAAACAACATATCATCACACAACTGTTCGTATGATATCCTACCAAAAGTTACTCTTCATTTTTAATGTGTTTTCCTACGAAAGTCCAGCAACACGTGTCAATTTCTGCTTGTTACATGAAAACAGTCTTTTTAAAATAAGCTTCAGTCTTCACAGGAAACTACTTAGTTAGCTTTAGGCAACAAAACTACTTAAATAGGGATAAGAAAAGATCATTAAATACTTAGTTTACACCAAAAATACTTAGTTAGGTTTAAGAAAAGATTGTTAAATACGTGAAATGATTTTGTGGGATACCAACGAATTACAGCTCATTGTTTTTCACAGGTACAGAATGCTGGATGAGAACGGCTTACATGAAACAGGGATTTAGTCTGTCAGCTACCAGTGAAGAAGTTAAGAGTAACTTTAAACTCACTGCAGTAGAAACCATTCGAACAAGTTCAGTGAGTCTGCAGTTTCACCATTATTCAACAGACTCTGAGTCAGTGTAGATGTTGATCTTTTCACTCAAATAGCGAGAGTTCATTGGACATTTAAACCAAATCAGCCAGTCGGGAGTTCAGAGGTCATTTACTGGAGAAGTGGAGTTTAGTGTTCTCACACGGATTTCACACCAGAAGGGCAACATTGTGCGGATCAAGGCCGTTACTTCCGATGCAGAGATCGGCTGGCTTCTCTCAGGCAGCTTTGGGAACCGGCGTGCTGTGCACTGATCTGATTTTCCGCCGTGTTGTGCAGAAAAAGTTCAACTAAACTCAAACTTTGGCCTCAAATGCGTTGATGTGCACAGCATCAACGTCTAGTGACATTCTGGCTTTGATGAGAGGAGGAAGTGTCGCCGCTCTTCATGTTCCTCTATTTTGTGTCTCCTTGTCTCCTCCGTCCTCCTGCCTGTGACTTAGAAATTGATCTCAGAGCGCCATCTTAAACGACGTCTCAATTCCTAAAACTTCATCTCGAGGAGCGGGAGCAAGAGGAGGCTCGCTGGAGCGGCTGTGAGCAAGGATGCACCGGTGTATCGGCACCAGTGACGTGTTTTTGCACATTATGCCATGTTGTGAATTGAATTAAATGTAAATATATACGTTGTCTTGAACACTGTTATGCTCACCTGAGATCTTAAAATCTAGCAGTGGGCGATGATGAAACAATGGACAGAGGATGCAGCTGTGCCACACGTCGCTTTAAAATGACGGCTCCAAAGGAAGGATATCTCATGAAGCCTAGACTCCTCTGTCTTTTTTTTTGTTGAAAACTTCATATAATTTATATCAGATCTACAGTTCCACGAATACATACATGATTCACAAGTATACAGACATAAAAACACAAAGACAGATACAAGAAAAGTGCTGTGTGCTTGGGTCAAAAGTTCAACAGATGCCACGGGAGGGACTAGTTTCACCACCATGTTGCCGTCCATTACAGTCTGTTTTATTACCATTATACATCTGGTTTTCCATATTTAGAAACATGTGATGCTTCCTCGCTCCAATCTCAGGTGGGAGGGACTAAGACGTGAGGAGAGGAGGCGAGGAAAGGAATCGAGGACGTACAAACTGAGAAATAAGAACAGCCACATGTAGTTTTCACTGCAGGAAAGAATGGAGGAAAAATGTTTTTATTGCATCACTTATGTCCCTCCGAGCCGACCAGGATTTGTGTAAAAATACTACCAGACAGAGATTACTGTTGAGATTATTGACATCATACTGTTGAAACCGACATTAAGAGAATTTTGTCATCAAAGCAACGAGCAGATTCATTTTTATTGTTTACTTCTATAAGTCCTTTTATGCAGATTTTTCAGCTGCCTTTATTTATTTATTTTAAACAATAACCTTTGTCTGTCACGACACATCTCACAGCAAAACAAACAACACTCAGATGAGGTTTTATATATGAAATGAGTCTATTGTATAATAACCACATAATCCAGGGTGTGAAGATGAAGATGGATGCTTATCATCATCATTACGGTAAACCTTTATTTTTAAGCAGGAACAACAGCAATCTGATGCAGCACAAGATAGAGAGGCGTTTCTGTTTAATAACCAAACACATCACATAACGGAGAGTTTGGTAAAGAACTGAAGAATATCCTCATAAAATGCTCAACTTGTGGGAACTTCATGTACCTCATAATGAAGGTGGTGATGAGCAACTTTTAACTTCATTGAAATCAGCTGCTCTCACGATGAACTGCACTGAACGGAAGTTAAAATCATGAAATGGAATGTAATGCAGATGTGTTTTTGGGTGGGATCTGTGTGAAACCGTTTTTTTGAAATCCCAGAATTGATCATCGTTAGTCATGAAGATAAACCAGTGAGTCACTCGGCCAGACAAGAGCTTTATTAGCCTGCAGAGCAGAAACCAGGCCAGTCAGTCAGTCTGCCAGTAGGTGGCACATTAACCCAGTTATTCACGTCCAGGTCCTCTCTTTGTGTGCAAAATGTTCTATTGTGCTGCTGTGATCCGCCCTACATCAGCTGCCACAGACAGGAAAAAAAAACACACACCCTCCAAATGTGGAGCAGCAGACTTTAAGAAAGAAAAGAAAAAGAAGTGCAGTTTAGTTTTTTTAATTATAATTATTTCTGTGTTGGATTACGGAGCCCCAGCCCCCCACCTCTGTTTGTAGAAATGTGGAGAGCATTTATACTCTCAGGAGAAATAGTTTCCATGTGAGAGACTCCCAACAAGGCTGTGATGCTGGAATAACAGTAAACATGCAGGAGCTGTTTATTTACATGGTGACACACAGAGGTGCAATTTGAGCTTTCTTTACTCGCCTATTTGTCATGCCTGGACCAGACTCCATGCATTCTATTTGACCATTTTTACCATAAATTAACAGTGATAGTTATTATGAGAATATATATCAAAAATAATGAATTGTCATGTATAGTATGTCGTATTTTATATATAAATATGTGTTCATTATCGGATGACGACCAACCGGACCGCCTCATGTGAAGATATACAATATTAAATATGCGCGTGCGTTTATTTAAAGAGCTGGGTATAAATGAATGCATTTGGTCGGCATGAAGACTGCGAAGCTCCGATTACAAGATTCTCACGTAAACCGACGCTGGCTCGCGCACTGATTGGCCGACCCGTCTGCACGTGTACCGGCGAATCCATGTCCGTTATGTAACGTGCAGCGACCGGAGAGGAGCTATACGGGGCGGGGAAAAGGGAGGGCTGCGGTATCCGAGAGGGGGAGTTCATTCATCCCAATGCACGGTCCTTTTAAATTAACAACTTACTAGAACGTTTGTATTTATTTATTTTTTGCATTGTATCTGTTTTATTTTTTCATGGTTTTAATTTTTTTTTGTGCAAGAATTCAAAAAACTAAATGCACACAATATAAAACATTATAAAACTGTATTTTAGCTGTTCACAACATAAATGAACAGCCTATGCACGTGCAGCCTATAGAAGCTTTTATACCAGTTAGTGAATTTAAATGTCCGAGAGCTTCATTGTGCGTAAAATGAAACCGTTCTGCTTCAAAACGACGTGGATGACAGTTTGAGATAGTTTGTCGTTGTAGTAGTAGTAACGGGCTATAGTGGGAGGAGGAGCCGGTGAGGGACGGATGGTGAAACACCCCTGCAAGAGTTGGAATTGGAGTAAAACGTGGCTTTAAAAGCATGCAGCCTGGCTGCCTGCCTGTCTCTCTCTCACCTACAGCCAGTAAGGACGTAGAGGGGAGAAAACAGGATTGTAAATCGTGTGCCTCTAACATGCCTGGAAATACCAAACCGGCTGACCCACCACATTCCACACTAACGACTGTTAAAGTTATTTTTTTAAATATAAATATATATATATATACATATATATGTGCGTTTAATCATACATTCATCAAACACATTTCTTTTTTTTCTGAACGCATTTAATAAATAACAACTTTTTTGCAATTGTCTGCGTAGCTCTGATGCGAGACAGACAGGCAGTAAGACACCCGGCACCTCCTCTCGATCCACGTGTGTTTCTGTCGTAACTCTTTTACCCGCCATCATTTTCCTGGAATCCCATCCTTGCAACGGGAGGTATCCCTCCGCGGTGCAACGTAATACATAGTCCCCCGACTTCGACGCGAAAATAACCGGACTCGCCGTCGCCCCCGGTTTTTCCGCCACGACTCAATCGAAACGGCAACCGACGAAGGGTTAACGGGCGGCAGGTTTGATTGTCGTTAGCGACTTTTTACCGGTTTTCGCGTTTTGGCGCGACTTTGGCCCGCAGCGGAAGGACACCGATTGGTAAGCGAGGATATAAACGGAGCGATCCCGACGGCCACACCTACTCTGTCTGCGCTCAGCGGAGGGAAGAATAAATCTGACAGGATATAAACACCATGCTGCCCGGATCCAACTTTAATTTCACACGCAGAAAATCTCTCACGAGCCGGTAACTCCACGCTGGTTTCCCTGCACACCTCCCTCTCTCGCTGTGGACTTTATTCGGATATTTCGGACGTTTTACGACATTTTCTTCTCATCTGCGTGTGTCTCCAAGAAGACCATTGAAGGTAAGGCAGCTGCGTCGTGGAGTTAAATTTACGCATGTGGCGTTTTAAAAAGTCACCTCATGGCTGCGTGTTAAATTCTGCGTGGTGTGTATTGCTGGTTGTAATTTGGCGTTGCATTCCATAAATGCATTGCTGGGTTCACGTGGAGACCTGGTGGAGCTGAAGCTAAGTCTGGTTTAAATGACCCGTACTGCGTATGAGTTGGATCTGCACCCTTTTGGGATTTTTGTAGTCTTGCAGCTTGTTTTTGTGCATTGGCTCGCATCTCTCACACGGAAACACTAAACTAGTGTAGACACATGGGTTTATGCATATTGACGTTTTTAGTAAATGTGTCGAAAGCTGTTCAATATAAATGCGTGTTCAGTTCTACCGAGTCCGGTGCAAAGACATGCAGCCAACGCGACCCGACGGACAGTATCCCGCTGAAGTGAATCTGCATTCAGAACCTCGTTGTGAAATGTGTAGTTTTTTATCAGCCTGGGTTTGTCTGCTCTTTACGCACGGTCTGTACTTTACGCTGGTAGGTCCTGTGAATGCCATGCATTCGTATGCGATTAACAGTCATTTAGTGTTGCGTTAAGTGTGGGGTGTGTCGGGGGAGGGGGGCGGATGTCATCATAAATACCATTAATTACAGTTTTTGGCGCAGACTGGTCTGTATTTGAGTTGTGGCTCCGGTTTCCCAGGCTGTGGTGGTAAAAGGCAGCTTTTAAAGAACTCTGAGCCCGTCTGCAGCACGCACACTGCCGCTTTGTTCTCCCACACAGGCTGCTATACATGCACATACCAGAAGTCTCCATAGGAGGAGCACAGGAATCCCCCTCTGTTGGTAGGACTGCTTCTCAGGTCGGGTCGGTTTTAGGGAATTCATTTAGAATCAGAGGACTGTTGTTGGTTGTTCTTTAATCAGGATTTATTTTTTAAGTTTATTTCACAGCATGATGCATTCAGGGTTTATTGTAGGCAGAATAAACGCAGCAAGTTCGGCCTAGTTGGTGTTATCACAAACGACCTGTGGGGCTTTTTTCAATGGTAACTCTGGCTTTGTGCTTTTAGTATTTAAAACAAGTTGTGAGAGAGTCTCTGGATGCCCTGCAGGGGGCTGTGTCATGTATGTGAAATGGTAGCAGAGAGTTTTAACTGTTGAGCAACTCCTAAAAAAACGGGGGGAGGGGAAACAAAAGCCACCCATCCTTTATCTTTACGGGTTTTTGTTTTCCATGTCGGCAGCAGCCGGGCTCCATCTTACAGGTGTTGAGGAGGAAAAAATGTAAATTGTGGAGAAACTGTAGAGTTTCTGCCCCCGTCTCTCCCAGCTGTTCCTATGATGTCATGGTTGGGGGGAGGGTGTTTAAAAAAAAAAAAAGTTTTTGGGGTGATTTACGGTCTCCCCAGGGGCGCAGTGGGGGCGGGGCTACAGTGATGTAAACACATAAAAAAGTGCCCCACTGCCGGTGAGTCAGTCTGGAGAAACTGGTTTGGACTTTCACTACATCAGGTGCTGCTGGGGTTTGCTGCCTACTACTGACACGGAGCTGCTTTTAACACACTACCGGCTCAGCTGCTCTGGATTTAAAACTCACTCCATCTCTGATTTTTAGTTTATTTTGTTTTCTTCTCCAGATTCTGCAAGCAAACATGTTGCAAAGCTACTCCCAGTCGCAGGACTGGCTTTACACGGAGCCGCTGCTATTTGACGACGAGTTCTGCCAGAGTTTGATGAAGGACCTCCATTCGCTGCCGACGCCCCCCCAGTCCCCGCCAATGAAGACCGGGCTGGGCGGCTGCAGCAAGCCCCTGTCCAAGGAGGACCAGCTGAGCTACGTCTCCGACATCCTGCTGGAGGACCACGACATGATGCAGCTCAACTGGAACTGCGACTTCTTCCACTACGGCGGTGCCGCCGAGAAGGACGGCGAGCCCAGCCTGCCCTGCTCCCCGCTGGAGGAGAGCGGCGAGGACTGCCTGTGGCAGTGCCTGGCGAGCGACAAGAGCCTGGAGGAGAAGCTGGTCTCCACCATGCTGGGCTCCAGCCCGCTGCTGTCCGACATCAACACCAGCATCTTCGAGGAGATCGCCGGCTCCACGCTCGACTGCCAGAACCTGATGGAAACCCAGGAGCCCAGCGAGGTCACGTCGGACTACGGGTCCACCGGTGGCGAGCTGTCCACCTACTCATCCAGCGACTCTGGTGAGTTCACGCCTCCTTTAATATCCATTTCTGAGAGTTGAGCCAGAATGTTTGGACTTCTTATGAGTCTTCAATCAGGGGTTCCTTTAGGATCTTATTTCAAACAAAATGCAAATTATTTTTTGTATTTTATTTATGCTTTTAGGTCTGACACGCCCACCTTGTCAATGTGCAGCTTATCCGTATAAACACTCCTCGCCCCACAAAAGCCTCACTGGCAGTTCATTGATAATTCAGTTAGTTTTAGTGGCACCGTGCCCAAATTGTTCTTTGCACTCAGCCTTATCTGGGCACCGGCCGCCCACCTTTTTTAATCTGCAGAAGCCTTTTTTTTTTTTTTTTTTTTTTTTTAAGGACTTGAGGATGTTGTTTCAGCAGCGTGGGCGGGGCTTCAGCCCTCCGCTGAGTAGATGAGAGGTTTTAGGAGAGATAGTCGACCGAGGAGGGATGGATGGATGGAGGGAGTTGGGGAGGGTGGGTGAGTCATGTTCGGCGGTAACTGTTGCGGCTCCATCCATTAACTCCTAATGAGTCATTTTACCGACTCGAGCCCTCTGGCATCCTCTGGCTGTAGACCAGAGAGGAAGAGGGCAGACTTGCGTTTACTGAAATGTTCTTTTTAGGATCGCTCATTCTGAAAATAGTTTAAAAATTTGACTTTTTTGTATTTTTAGCTTTTCAAAATTAAACTATTTTTAACATTAAATACCTTTTTAATGTGCGAATTTGACTGAAAATACTTAATTTCATATTTTAAAGCATTAAAACTGTAACTACTGTTTATACATTTAGCTGTTGCTGTAATTCTGCTCGTCTGTTTACAACAGACGTGTGTGTGTGTGTGTGTGTGTGTGTGTGAGAGAGAGAGAGAGAGAGAGAGTGTGAGCCAAGTCCACGGTGGTGTGTTGTTTCCAGTGTCGACACTCTTGTTTGTGGTGTCTCTGAAATGTTGAAGGTCAGAAAACAAATTAGTTGGACTAGTCTCACCCATCTCTCGTTTCTTCTTCCCTTACAGAGGAGGAGATTGATGTGGTCACTGTGGTGCGCTGTTCATCCAGCGCCTCCCCTCGGCCCTCATTGGCTGACCTGTCTGTCCATCACCAGAAGCAGGAAGAGGAGAAGCGAGCTCTCCAACGCCACCATTTTGAGATCCACCTGCAACACAACTACGCGGCACCATGTCCCGCATCGCCGCCGCCGCCGCCTTCGTCCTCGTCCAGCAAGCGCTCGCGAGGGGGCGACAGCTCGTCGCGCTTTCACCGCTCCTCTCGTAGCTCGTCTTCGTCGTCGCGGTACCACCACCACAACCATCAACACAACTCGACGGAGACGGAGGACGAGGAGGAGCGGCGGCGGAC